TTATTTCTTTATAATTTTATTCATTTTTCTTATTATTCATTTATATTATTATTTATTATTATTTATAATTATCATTAATTATTAAATTATGATTAGTTATCCTCTAGAGACATAAATTAAGTTAATTAATTCTGTTCAACCCATATATATTTTATTTATAGATTATTAATTTATTCACATTTTGTATTCATTTCTTTTCTTATAAATATGACCTTCTGTTTTGTAAAATAGCCTCAGATCTGAATACTTTTAAATAATAAAAATAATCATAAGTTATAAAATTAAAACTATTCATATCACATTTTATCTTGTTTACAATCATTAACAAAATAATTTTACATATAAATCAAATATTTAAATAATTATAACAAATAAAAACTATCAGAATTTACTTATGCAAGTTTTGATAAAGACTTATATTAAAAGATGTTCAAGTACAGAATAATAAAAATTAATAATATTGTATATAGGAGTTTTTCAGGCTTAGTTATATAAGATTATTCTTTATTAAGTAGGAATTAGTAATGACTAGTTACTGTTTGTTTAAATCTGACTCAAGCTATTTGAGTTAAATAATGTAAAAACAAATCTTGGATATATAACTGAACAAAGAAATTCCAATATCTTTTTTACTAATTCTTTGAAAATAAAAATCTTTTGCTTTTTTTTTGATCAGCTAGATCAATTAGCATTGAATAATATGCAGTATACATGTACATGATACTTGATATATATGTATTATATAACTTAAGATTATGTGAGATACATGTATAATATTACATATACAATGTGTGACAAAAAAACTTAACTAAATAATAAATAAATATCTTATTGGAATGAAGCTATTTGTTCTATATCTAAATTATCCAAACTGATTTTAACCCAATAGAAAATTTATAGACTATTATTAAGAGTAATATTAAGAAATAACTATCTAAAAATTTGGATATTTTAAAGGAGTTCTTGATAGAAGAATGGGATTCTATTTCAAAAATTATTTTAAATAATTTAATAAATTCGATAAAATGTTATTGTAAATTAGTTATTGAAAGTAAAAATAAATAAATTAATTTTTAAGCCTAATAAATTTTATTCTAAAACTTTTTTGCTTTATTGATCACTAAATTTGTATGATTTATAATGAATTTAGTATAGTTAAGTTTTTTTGTTACACACTGTATTATAATTACTGTTAGATTTTGTGTAAAATTTGCTGCGAACAATTAGTATACCATAACAAAAGGAAATTACAGTCCAAGTTATTTAATTAGTTAGATGTTTTTAATTGTTGTATTAAAAGAATTTCGCTTTGTTAGCGATACTTATGGATAAGCTAAAAATAAATATTTTTTTTTAAATTGCTGTAACTTCAAAGGAGCACTTTTTATATAAATTTTATTGTGCTTTTGTATTAGTTTAATGCTGCATCTTTTTTAACCTCGAATATGCCTAACCTTCAAATGTAAATTACAATTAAAAATGTGCGTAAATAGCTTGTCAAAAGGCGCAAGTTGAATCGAGGTCACTACTATTAAATTTTTACTATGATACCTGACATATTTGATTAATTAGTATATACCGATCCCGACTACGATGTAAATGCTACTGTCAAACTTTGCATTTCCTTTCTTTAATTTGATATGTTGAACATAATTGCATTTTGATCCACACGATTGAAATACTATAATGACGCGAAAATTTAAATTGTAAAACATACTGGGCAATTATCTTCCATTTTTGGAAATAATTAGCGGATAAATACGCACGTTCGCATTAATGTTGGGGCTGTACAGCAAATTAATTTAACAATATCGATATTGTTAAAGTTTAAATTATGTGGGTAATCAATAATCACATACATGTACTATTACGTATGTACTTCAACAAATCTCATGATTCGACATAAAATTGTACTCTTCCAGGATTTTTAACAAACTAAAAAATCAATTTGGTTCACATGAATACTCCTTTTTACGAATCATTAATGTATTGCCTTATCGATCAGAAATATATAATAATTTTATCATTAAATTTGGAACTATACTTAAAATTGAGGAGTCATTAATTGAAAAACTTCATTATTAAATTGTCCTTTGTTTATAAATAAGTAGAAAGCTTTATAATGCGGTTACTATTACCTTTGATACACACGTAAAACTGAAAGAAATTTAAACTTGAAGAAAAGCGCCTAATTGAAATTGGTTCTGCGACCCATCAAACACAAAAGTATTTTAATCCGGGAACTTATAAAATGGAGATGATCAATTGTGATAAAGGTAATTTGATAGATAAACTCTTGAGTTTTACAACTTTTATTTTATACGTTGTACAGGTAGAAAAGGTTTGTGGTATACTGGCGACGGTTCTCTTTGCGAGCCTCCAGAGAAATACCAGGTTTCTTAGTGTTTTATATGCATGCTTTCAATTGAAGCATAAGTAATCCGGAATTTTCTAGAGGCTCACCAAAAATTAGTAGCACGCGAAACCTTTTCTACCTTATCATATGATTTTCTATAGAGAAGCATCTAATTAGTGAATAATATAAAGATTCAGAAGAAAACCAAAATAATTGTAACAAAAATACGACGGGTAAATAGTTGTATAATGTTAATTTGTTGAGTTGCCAAACTAGATGCGATGTTAGTCTAACAATAAAATTATAAATTTTTCGCACAATTGAATTTGACAAAGAATTAGAAGACATTGATATAAACGAAGACTTTGGATACGCGGAAGAAAATGGAAATGCAAAACAAAAAATCTACGATTACGAAATCAACCAAACTCTTCAACAAAGTTTAAGTCAATTTAAACACCAAAATTCCTATAAGCATTGTTGCCAAAATAAACAGTCAAATGAGATAAATACGCAAGAATACAATGAAATTTCAAAAAAATACAGTCGCTTAATTAAGGAGAACGAGGAGCTTAAAAACAATGCCGAAAAGCTTAACAGAGAATTACAAAATAAGAAAGAAATTTGGGAACAAACCAACAAGAAGAATCAAGACATTATCAATAATTTGAATGAAGAAATCGAATCGTTAAAATCAGTCTGCAACCAAAATCAAGAAATAATCGATAATCTGAGTAATGAAATTGTTCAATACCAATCCGCTTTCGGCGATCTAATTAATGTTCGTTTGGACAATCAAGATCCGAATAATCCTGTTAATCTTACTAAGGATGTTCATAAACTTCGAGAAGCTTTATATGATTTCACTTTTCTCAAGGGAAAAGCATATATTATCAATAAGGACAATGTTCAACAATTATTTAATATATTGAAGACGAAAGCTAGCACAAATCACAAACCTTCAGTTAGTGCGGCCTTGCAACGTTTGACAATTAAGAAGATACTCAAAGATTACAATGATTACATGAACACGTATATGACACAAGATAAAATCCTTTCTACATATAATTCTTCCGATAACAAATCTCTCGAAAGAAGACTCGTTACATGCGTAGATAATTTAACTAGCATGGTTAAAGATTTTAACAAAACTCGAGAAGGAAATGATAACAACGCTGCCGGCATTACCGAAATCCAAATCCGTCAAGAAATCTATGCTATGTTGGGGAATAGAGGTTTCGGACAAAAAGGAAATCAAGTTATTAATGATCTAAAAAAAGCGCTTCTTAAAATGTTGGAACATTATCGTGCAATCACCGATGACACCATATCTAAAAAGCAAGAAGATCATGCTGACGAAATTATACTTGGGATCATCCGTATTTTTAAGTATCGTCTCTTAACTCAAGAGCCAATCGTTACTTTTCGGTGGTTCGAGCATGGAGAGCCTCTGAATGATACTTTGATGGAATGGGTCTCAGCAGGTGAGGATGAAACGAACATGTTTGTCGATATTTGCGCATTTCCAGCGATTGGAGTGAACTTCGACGATCCCACCAAATGTCAAATTTACACCAAAGCTCAAGTACAAATTTGCAACATTCCAACCGCCCCCAAAGAAAAGCAGATGGTTCATATAAATAGAGTTTTTAAAACTTATGCCAATTTTTTATATTAGACAACTGTACTGTATACGTCATATAACAATTATTCAAGAATAAACACATGTACTTAGATAACTTTATTTAACTTTTGAAAGTCTTGTTCTTTTAAGTTTAAAAGATGAAAGAAATGTACAAACAATCAATGTCAATCTTTTTTTGCGTTTGTAACGAAGAGCCAGATATAAACCCGAAGTCAGGGGCACCAGTGAATTAAATTCACTACTTTACTACAATAATGTCATGTTAAAGAATTTGTGAATTGAGAAAAATTGATGTCAGCTTTGAAACTTGGTATCTCGTTGTGAAAAACACACAAGTGGGGGTGCATGTACATGTATATACAGTAGTGCATGGAATTCCATGTACATGTATCATTTTAAGAAATGCCAAGAGTTTCTATTGTTCGTCGCTATCGCTATAAATAGGTATCGAAGTTTAAGCAACAAATAACTATCTCGCCATTATCAAATACGATGAAACAACCAAAAATCAATAACGATAATGTACCACAACTTCGAAATTTACTCGCATTATTTACGATTCTTATTATGATCATCGGTTCTATAACAGTACCGAACGACAACCTCGCATTAGATTCAAATATCAACTCTACTTTCTTTGGTACCAATATTACTGAAAAAAACGGCGACATCGCATTAGATTCAAATATCGACTCTACTTTCTTTGGTACCAATATTACTAAAAAATCTAGCTACGATTGATATACTGTACAGCATATAATAAAGTCTTCATTTATCATTTATTATCTTTCCATTTTATGGTTAATGAGTGAAACTGTTTTTTGCTCCATTAGATATAATTATTCCTAAAAGTGTTTAACTGATAGTTCTAAACTGAATTTCAAATTTACCCGACCATTAAAGTTGCATCAGATTAATTACTAATACTAAATATATATTACTATCTTTTATAATTAACATATTTAATATAATTACATATTTTCCACTACTGCCTCATGCATTGTGAATAAGAATAAATGCTCATGTGCGAAATATATAATTATTTAAAAATACGAGAATTAGCGTTACAAAGATTATAATGAAAAGTTAGGCAAAGAACCATATGATTCAGAATCATTATGAGTAAAATTTTTATTGTTAATTTCACAATGATTGGTAATTCGATAACCGGTATTCCACTTGGCAGTTTACACGTGATCATGAGTATTTAACTTCCGTTTATTAAGGATTTAATAATTATTATTTCAATGTAACTGGGGTTTGGATTAATTATCAATTACATACATCAATATACAGTCGTCTCTGTTTAAACCGAACTGATGGTTCTGATAAGAAAAAAGTTCAGTATAGAAAATTACTATGTTTTATATGGAGCCCGTACTCTTTTTAAACCGAACTCATCAAAACTCTTATGAAATTTTAAAATTTAAAGTTCGGCGAGTCAGTTTAAAGAGAGTCGGCTGTACATTATTAAATAATCTTGATCTCACGTGATTTTTTAATTTCTGAAAATTTTCACAGTTCAAAATGCAGACATTAACTTACATATTTATTTTTAAACCAAATTCCAGGTTATTAAAATATACAAATTATATTAGAGACGCATGCCGGTTATTACAGACTACAAGGAATATCACACAGATGATTGCCTCTTATACAGGTGATTTGATTAGATAACATTTTCTCATAGGGAATACAGATACCTTTTTTTCATCTTTTGTTTTTCGATTTCATTTTTCATAACACCTTAAGATAAGCTATTGAATGCTTTTAAATAAACTTGTTCCCTAGGTTATCAAGCATATATGTTTAAAATTTTATATGATTTAAATAAATACTTATTTGAATACAACCAAAAATAAAATATCCGGTTTTTTTATAACCCACTGTATGTTTTAATTAAGCGAATCGCATAGAATTAGAAGTCAAATATGAGTCAGCACGAGCTCAAAGTTTGTTTAAAAAATGCTCTAATAGTAATTATTTATATACTGTAAAATTTATAACAGTTCAGCATATTAAGTTTCGAAAAAAAGTCATTGAATTGACTTAATGTTATCTAATATAACTCGGTCAAAAAATTTCCTTTTGATTCTTTACAGAATATTAATTTTGTAATAAGGAAAACTTTTATTTCAATTTGCAAGTATCAATCAGAGGATGAACACCCTGGGGATAATTAAAGAAGCATCTAGAATCGAGTTCAGATTTCACTTTTTGCAATTTTTTTTAATTTTCCCCGAAATATGCTTCCTTCCAGTCCACGTACTTAGAGTTCATGTAATTTTGATAAATGTGCTTTAGCGAAATCTATTTGAAGTTTGGAGATTCGAAAATTAAGCAGCCGCTTTTTGCTCATTCGAGTCATCAATCCAAAACGAGTCGACAAAGATATCAAAGTATGCTCGCCGATAAACAAATGCACTTTCTTCTGGCGCAATCTCATTAATGCGCCCCCGTAAGGTTCCATGGACACCATGTTGTAATTAATGACGTCGTTTTAAAATAACCAATGACCTCTTGATATTCGTTTTGGGTTAGTTGTTTTTCAATATATGCACATCGTTTGGTTTCCCTAGCAGTCAATGGAATCGTGCCTTCAACTTGATCTAATAAATGTTGATTGGCATATGCATATTATGGAGCCATAGATTTGTCCAAGAAAAGAGATACTGTTTGGGAGGAATTTTCCATCCACCACTGTCAAGTAAATACACATCATTATCATTTTTCGTTTCCCACAGCAATACTAATACCGAATTTTGTTATTAATTGTGCAAAAACTAGGGAATTTATTTATTTAAATGATAAGAAAAATAAATTTTTCTTCTTCAAATTAAAGCTCAATTTTTTTACATTATTCCAAGTCAGGAAAAGGATTAAAACTATATTGATTTTCCTTTACAAAAAGTAAGTCATGAACCGTATTTGGGTGGAGACGATTTCATTTGTCAGTTACTATATTTCCAGCATCAGAAAACAGACGTTCAGATGGAACTGTTGTCCCCGGAATACCTAATAATTTTCGTGCTTGTTTTGCCATTAAGGGAAGAGTCAACCAATTATCACGCCAAAGAACCAATGGGTTATGTTTCTTATAGAGAGGATCTGAGAGATCATATTTTGTCATTTTGGGCATGTCAAAATATACTTTGAGTTCCATTTCAATTGGACAAATTTGACTAGGTACTTCTTCAAAAAGTGAATTTAATAAAGAAGAAGGTGGATGGCTTTGAGACGCCTATATTGTTGGATATACCGTTGTCATATCTTTTTTTTCATTCGATGCTGTAATTCATCTTTTGTTATTTCAAATTTTTCAGATTCGAAGTTAAGATCTTTAAATCTTGGATCCAACATAGCAGCAATATATCCTTCTTGTTCTGTTCATCCCAACATTCTCCAAAAGATAATTCAATTGTATCATGTACATTACGAATAACTGGATGAGTAATAGTAATTTCTTTCCGAAATAAATGTTCCTGTATGATTTTGATTAATGGTAGCATCAATGAAAGAGTAGGATAATTATCACTACTGATTACAGTTGTAATATGTGCAAAAGGACCCAATAAATCAACTAGCTCTTGAATGCCCAAAAGTTTAGCATCATTAAGAAACAGCTTTTCCATTTGTTTTATATGAATTCCAACGAGTTGCAGTATCATTTGATATAGGATTTAATATAGAGATATTTTTGTCTTCTAACATAGAATTTTTAACTTTGACTATTTCTATCTGCATTGATCGTAATCATTCTCGGTATTTATTTCTTCCAACAATAAATCTATTAAGAGCCTTTGCACTATTATTAAATTTGTTGCTTCTTGTAGACCATCTGTGATGTCAAGCTGAATAGTGTGAGCAGTACACCAAATATGTAAAACGCCAAGATCTCTTATTACTTTTATTATTGAAGTAACCTTATCGGTTATACCAGCAAAACATTTGTCACTTAAGTCCCGTTTGATCAATTCCTTACATAAATAATCTTCAATATATTCAGATGTATGTGGATATGGAAAGTCTTCAATTGTGAGTAAAGCTTTATACATTTCAAACTCTGGAGTAAGCCAATGTATAGTAATTTCAATATACGATTTGTGTGCTATGTTCACAAGTCTACTTTACAAGACATTGAATGGCTGCATATCATCTTGTTTGGCAATGTATTTGACATTTAACCAATTCTTGTAAAGTAGGATCTGAACGAATTTGTTGAGATTGTATAGACAATGCAGTACTTGATTGTGAAGAGTAGGTTGAACTACTTGTTTGCCATTTAATGGTAATAAAGTACCATTTTTTTCAAGTCGATGTTCAGACCGAAGATGTGAAGCCAAACTGGTAGTACTAGTTTTGAGTTCAAAACGTTGGGTATATTGCTCGAGATCTCCATTAATTTTGATCCAAACGCAGTATTTGATTTTTTTGTTAATATAATCTTTTTTCATATGATCACATACCCAGCTTTTTCCTGGTTTAAAACGTTTATTACTAGTCATAATCAATTGTACAGACTCAACAGTTGAGTTTTCTTCAAAGAACGTGTCATCAATTATTGGTGGTGATGGAGGTAAATGTATATGTATGTGATTCATCATTATGCTGTTCCATTTCAATAAGACTTGGTAAAAATTTACCGTTGGAACAATTATAATAGCAAAAATTAGATGCAGTTGGTTCAGACATTATATGAATGTCAAATTTTCGCGTTTTTTATCTTTAATCTTTATTATATATATCATTTCTTTTTATGATATGTTATACAAGAATCGATTAGTCGATTTTTTAAAATTGACTGACTAAGTTGAAAAATCGACTCTAGTCGATTTTTAGACTATCAACTAGGATCACTAGTTGCAGGGCCGTCCTGCCAGCCTCTGGGTTTAGTTGCCGCGGACACAGAAATATGGAACTAGCTTGGAACATGAGACATCCACTCTCTCAACCTTGCTCTTCACAGCGAGAAAACCCAATAAACTGATGTTACGATCTTCAATGTTACTGTCATTTTATTTTGCTAGGTGCAATTCGATAGTGTATACTTGGCGGGAATGTCAGAGTCTGAATTTAAAATCCACTACAACGTCAGAATTATCTCTTGTTCCACCTTTGGTTGCCCAGAGTATATTTTGCGGGTCTTTTCCCTCTGAAGCCTTTATTTTGCCATTCGCCTTGACCATCGTCATTTTGATGATGTTATCACATGCCATTCCGTGTTTAATTGCGGTGTAACCATAACTTGAAAATCCAGCTATGCCGACATCATCACAGACTCTACCTTAAATAATTTCGAATATTAATAGATCACGCCGAATGAATAACAAAAAAATAATTAACAATACGTGAAACTGCCTGGCGTATGAAGGTTATAGACTTGCAATTTAACGTAAGATTTTCCCCACCTACCTCCGGCCTAGAATATTGCCTCTTTTTTCACCGTATCAATGAAGATTCCATTCATGCCGGACACGTCAATCACCATTCCATCCTGGATGACAGAATACCTGGCAGTATTATGACCTATGTACAAAGAACAAAGTGTTGAAAATGACAGATCATCAAACTTCTTTTAAATGTGATATGTATACTTGCCACCAGTCCTAATGCACACTTTAATCCATGGATCCATCTGCAAATTTCACGTCATTTACAACATCACTAACACAACTGCAGTAAACGACGAGGTATGAATAGATGTCGAACGCGGGGTCACTTTCTGTTCGTGCCGTAGTATAAGAGGCACTATCAGATGGTGTGACAATGCCTAGAGTAGTTAAACCAGCAGTGATACCAACGATCTAATTCTTGAAGGAGTCAAACTGGTCTTGAGTGTGCCCTAATTTTTTAAGAAATAATCGAATAATGGGGAAACAATCCTGCGAAGTGTATGGTATAATTTCAAATTTTCTGTAATAAATTTGACCAAATGTATCGTTAATGACGAGAAAAAAATTGATATTTATATATATATACAGAGTCAAAGCTCGATAAAACGAAGGTTTCAGGACATTTCATATCGTACAATTGGCAGATATTTAAAATTTATAAAAAAATTGACCAAATGCTACACCAATGTTAACAGCAGTTCAAAAAGAAACGCATACAATGGCCCAAACGTCATCTTAATGATGACCTGGAAAACGACACGAAACGATATTTCAAATATTTCCAAATACAATTCATTGGTATAAGGGTAAACGACTGATCCGACCAATACAAAAACTGTTCTAAGATTTTGGCATGGAGTGGTTGCTGTACGGAGGGAAAAACTCGTTTATGTTGCTTTCAGGTGTTACGAATTCTGATTTTTATGTCGAAATTTTGCAACAAATGTCGAGGAGATCAAAAAACATGCTTGTGAGAAAATGACGTTTCCAGCAAGATAACGATTCTAAGCATGCAAACGGTAAAGCTAAACTCTTGTGGAAAATGTACCCGAAATTCTTGATTGGCTGTCATCGAGTCCGGATCTAAATCCTATCGAAAATTTATGAGCAATTGCAAAACGTGAAGTAGAAAAATGAATGTCGCAAAATTTAAACGAATTGGGATACTTTCATATAAGGGCGGAATGGAATTCTTTGCCAGATAATAATAAAAGTTTATAATTCAATGCCACGCAGTTTTCAGTTAATTTTTGAGGATAAAATGAAAGAATCGTGTCTTAGATTTGTAATAATAAAATCTTCAGCCTTAATCATGTGATGGGACATTCTAAATTAAGTTTTTTTAACTATTAAATATTCCTTTCAGGTAAGATATTCAATACCACTCCCCAGGAAATTACATAATATCTGTAACAGTCCTTATGCCTGGACCGGGATGTGATCTATGTCAAATAGGAATGCGCAAATTTTTGATCAACAAATATGATCCAAGATATGAAAAATGAACATTGCATGTACACGTACAAGAAAACCAATGTCTAAATCTGTCTTGGAGTACTAATTAATATGTCGGGATGACAATTTACATATAATCTACTCCGCTAACCTAACCATTTACCTTATCCTACTTTATAAAACATTAATGTCGAAAATTTCAGAATATTGATTACATGATGGATTATGCTTTAATCATTCTTCAAATTAAACATGTTAAATGTATTTATAGTTTACTTCATGTACAATCAAAGACAGGAAAAATTCAATTATGCATACAATTACATGTGCAATTATGACAATATCTGGTTGCAATAATATAAATTTTCTATACACGTAATAATGATAATGTAAAAATTCAAGTTTAATAATGAACCAATAAAAATTCATTAAAGTATGATTAAAGTTGAGATCATGAATCAATGAAATTTGAACCGGTTTATACTCCGGTTTCAAGTGATTTCATTGTAAAATCGACATGTCAACCAAATCAGACCATCAACATCTCTAGTTGATCTTTATGAATTCGTATTTTAGTATCAATATCTATGACCATTCCCCTTATACCGTATCCTATGGTACCCCAGATATTATTCAAGAAAAACGTGAGTAGAATGTGCCTACTCAGGATATCTTACATGATAAATACGGTATAAGGAATCCATAAAATTTTTCTGCGATAGTTGACTGTGGCGGTATCCGTGCAAAAATCACTGCGGATTTAACGTGTTTCCAACTCCGATGTATTATTGCTAAGTTTGAGCGTTATGAAACCAAAATTTTATTATGAAATTCATTTATATTTGACTTGTCAGTATTTGTTATTTTCTTAGACAGCAACTGTTAAAAATTGTTCTATCAAATTAATCTCGATTTTTAACAGAAAGGCACGCATAATTTTTTGCGTATTGTTTGGTTTTTAACAGTATATCGAATAAAACGAGATCTTATGTTATTAGTAAACAAGAAATACTTAAAATTCGTCAATTTGTAGAATCTGTCATAACCGTATAATCAAATAATATGTCTTTTTCATTTTCTAAGCGCTGTTCGTATGTTTGGGTTGTTCTAAAACAGAACACTCTCGTGTGATACGTACGTAGATAGGTATCAAATTTAATGAAATTATCTGCAAAGGAAGCAAGTGTTGCTTCTTGTTGTAAATGTTAAAATAAGTTAATTTGGTAAAACTACAGGGTGATTTAAAAAATATTAAGAGCCGTTAACCATGCAATTCCAAAATTTGGTATTACCTGTATCATCATAAACGCACCGAAAAAATCTCTATTTAAGTCACACGTGTTATTGGTATATAAGCATGCCTTGTATCTATAAAACAAAATGTTAATCTTCGAAAAAGGTACTTCAATTATTCCAGTTCATGAATTACCAAAAGAAAAGAGGAGGCAAGAATGGCGTATTCATAAAGCTAAGAATAATGATATAAAATCGCAAGTTATGATCCTGAAACCAGCGACTCTTCCGAAAATATTAATACAGAAAAAAAGGATGGTCAAGCAATTGATTATACTACGAGAGTAGTTGAGAATAAAGGCAAGAAAACGAAAATTAAATATATTTATTAAATTGTGTTAAATCCTAGAATGATTAAATACATAGTAGGAAACTTCATATTCCAGGAATATATATTACAAGACGTATAATTTCTAATACAGTCGAAAAAATAGTAAAACAATACATTTCAGGATATTACATGTATCATTATTAGTCGGAACAATAAATTAAAACTTTGTTATAGTAATATTTAAATACGTTAATAAAGTTTACCAACTAACAACACCTAATATTTAAATTAAACATTTAAACATTTGAGCAAATCTTGTTGATCTGGTAAAATTGAGTAGACATTGTCATTATATAAAGGAGCAGATCTATAAAAATCAATATCACCGCAGACATGCAAAGGATTTTTTAGGCAATTTGAATCTGTATAGTAAGTTACACATTTGTTATCCTTGATCTTGGCTGAGCTGATCTTCCTATTCCATCCGTCAGGTACTACGAAGCATGAACGAGGTTCGAGTTTGAATGTTGTTGAATCTCCATTATAATTATCGTCAATATAGGCTGTAACCTCCACAGGACAGCCTAATTGTGCTGAGATTGATAATGGTTTGGCATCAAATTCATCTCCCAAGAAACACACCTATAAAATAAGCAAATGAGAATATTAGATTTAATGTTTTCCGTTATGAATAAGAGATCAATGAAAAATCAGAATTAATTACCATAAAAATCGTAATGATAAGAAATTTGAAAAAATTCATTTTAGACTGGAGAAATAGTGATAAACTTTGTTTTAAGAATGTATTGTATGAATAGATGTGTAGTGTGTGAATAGACGTTTCTTATATAGAAAAAAACAAAACGATTATAATTATGTTCCATTTTTTATTTTTTTGTTCCTTTAATTCGACCAACGCAATAATCATATATTTGATGTATATCACATGTACACGTTCAATACTGTTGTACATGCGCATGTAACAGGAAGGGGAGGGGCAATGTTTTATGTACGTTAAAAGTAAATTATGTATGTGAATTATGAAATACGAATTCTGTGCAATTTGTGGCAGAAAAATACATATACATGTAATTCTTTTAACAAATTTTCAAAGATGCACATCGATAAAAAAGAATTCTGAATTGAAATCAAAGATGCATATCAATGAATATGAATAACTCGGGCGGACATTCTTGATATGTAGGAGAGGGAATACTTATCAAAGACAATAATGCACATTTGTAAAAGACAATTTATAAATTAGGATTCATCATATGCAAGGCAAGCTTTTTTGAAACTTGGCGGTCATCCTTGATGTGTAGTGAGATAAATACTGAATCAATTATATAATTCACAGATACAGATGGTTTGAAAATATACAATCTGCTAGATTGGTTACCGTATATGACTGAAAATGAGAACACCGAAAATATTCATTTTGAAAAAAAAAACAGGAAGTTGCTTGTTTTTTGATTTGATGTCCCGATTTATTATGCAACAATGCACACTTAATACACACTAGCATACTGATCGATAAAAATCGAAAAATGTCCATTTCTACTCACAGAAATGTAAAAACACCATATTATTTTTTTGATGCGAATATGTAGCTTCCGAGATATGTAATTATAAAATGTAATAAATGCATAATGTAAGAAGTCGAAAGTTTCTTATTTATGGAATTCATCATTTTATCATAATTTCCTTTAAAACCAAAAGTTTCTTATTATCGGGGGTTGCCTATTTTCAGTTATATACGGTAATTAGTACTGAGATATGTACACATAAAATTCAGAAAAATTTCTATTCTTATAACATGTTCTCAAGAATTACTGCGAAATTTCTATTCTTATATAATCAATATTAATATGATCTCAGAAATTTCTACAAAAATTCTTAGTTTTTAATAATTATATTTGTTAAAGTAGAGTTTAGATAAAGTTAAAAAGTTTCTTAGTAGTTGATCCATTTTCTGGAATAGGATTCCAATAATTTTTAATAATAAATTTGCATTATTTGGAAATATTTTTTATTTGGTATTATAGGTTATAACCCTTTATAAATATCCAATATAAGATGTATATATAACTTAATTCAGTAAATAGTTATTTATCAATTATAATTTTATATATAATAATTCCAAGGTTATAAATATCTGAGAATTTATATATAACTTTTTATTTAGCATCTCTAAATTGTATAAGAAAGTACTTTACAAATTTCTTGCTTAGATTTTCTTTTTATTAAAAAAGATTCTGGTTTTCAAAATCTTTTATAGGAATTATGGATAACTAAAATAGATAAAATAGTTTCAAAAAATATTGATATTCATCAATTACATCAAGAAGACTTTAACAATCTTCAAACAGAACTTGAGAAGTTCTTTAGTTTAAATAATAAGTCATATAATCAAAAGTTTGCATATTTTAAAATATATTCAAGTACTTATATAGAATCAACTAATATTATTCAAGTAACTAATATATTTCATGACTTGAAATGGTTTGCAGTCTCTATTGATGAAAAAGAAGAAATTTTTTGATATAGAAAGATATTGTATATAGTATAATATTATAATACTATTTATTTATGATATTAATATTACAAAAGCTTTTATTATTAACAAATAATAATCTTAAATTTAGATACTATTATTATTTGAATTTTTT